ACCCGGGTGATCGGGGGGATATGCCAATATGTACAAAAGAAGTAATTTTCAGAAGAAACAGTCAAACAACCATTAGAAAAGGTGTGAAACAAAAGAAAATATGTGAATAATTGTTCCTTCCATATGGGCAACATACAAATACAAGAGGATCATACATCACCAAAGAATGCAATTTTGAACCCAATCATGGCTCCATATGATGATGATGATGATGATGATGCTTCACAAATGCAGAACTGCCATGGATTTGGTCACGCAAGAAGAGGCGTCGAGTTCGCGCGCGACATGATAATTCCTCGAGACGTGTCTCCATTTCGTCTCGGTTTCCGAGACGCGACACACGGTCGAGAAGTCGAGAACCTGCCCGAAGATCTTGAACATCTCGACCCCGAATATGAGGTTCTTATCGGAGGCAAACACGGCATTCCAATCCATGGGCGCGTCCGGATGAATGGAGACTTCTTTCCATGTAAGGTGCATAAGGTCGAGCTCCCACAACTTCCGAACCGCCTTGTTTCTCCTCCCGATTTCACCGCCCCCCTCGCACCACGAGACCGATAGCACGAAAAGACGCCCGTCGCACGAAATGAGCTTCGGGCAGTACTCGTGGACGCGGGACGGGAACCGGGCGGTCCGGATCCCAACCCACCGGCCTGTTTCTATGTCAAACGCGGCAAGCTTGTCCGATTCTGAGTATACATAGAACAGCCCTCTGCAAACAACACCTGAACAGACTGTCCCAAAATCAGCCGGCAACCTCTGAATTTCCGCCCATTTGTTCGAAGCAGAATCGTAAATTTCTCCCGAATCTAATGGCTCATCCCAACATCCGAACCCGCCTACCGCTATCAGGACAAACCGTCTTTGATGACGATGATGATCTTTATTAACCCGTTCACTTTTTTGTCTCGTTAACTTGTACGGCATTGGCACGAAAGAAGCCTCGTTCTCCTCCTCGGGCTGCCCGTGGTCCCGCCTGACTGAAAGTCGGTGAGGGTCCTCGTAAACCTCGGAAACACCAGCAACCCTTGTCCGGTAGAACCATCTTTCCGACCGGTTTTGTTGGTTTTTAGCAACGAAAACATCGGAACCGACTTCGAAGACCCCAAGAACGGGCGAGGATCTTGCATGTTTCAAGGAGGAGGTTTCCCGCCACGACTCGGTGATGGGGCTAAAAACCAACACACTTTTGTGGGTTTTGTAAGAGCTTTTGTCGAGCTTCCCGAAGTCGGCCAAACTCGAACAACCTCCGACTATATACACGTCGTCTCTGATGCCGGCAACGGAGAACAGAAACCTCCCCTTGAGTATCTCGGCGTCAAACTTGTGCCACTCGTTGAGAGAGACGTCCAGCGCGTGTATCTCGGAAGAGCAATACCCGTTTTTGACGAAACCAAAGAGGAACAACCACGGGCTTTGAAACGGGCCGTCCCGTCTCATCTTCCAGAACCGAGGCGTGCCGGTCAGGGCTTTCCATTTCTTGCAAACGACTCGGGCGTTCATCAGACTGACCAGTGGGAGTCTAACTAAGCACATTTCCAAGATGTCGTCGGGGATAAAGACGTTTTCCGAAATCGCGTTTTCACGTAACGCCGCCTTTTTGTTGTTGGTACTTCTCTTTCTTCTCAAGAGCTTGTGGCGCATTGCGTAAGAGAAACAGTCCATGGTGGGGCCTGGAATGTGCTTTCTTCTTTCGTTGCTTGCGCTCGAATGTCTTCTTTGTTGCGTATTATTCCCGAGATCTTCATCGGTAACATCAGCACCCACTCTGCAGACTCCGCCCCTTCCGTAAAGGCTGATTAGACAACTTACAGAAATGCCCCTAGCATCGTCGTCCTCTTCTTCTTCTACTTCTTCTTCTTCTTCATTTCCCTCTTTTCTTCGGGTTTTCTTCTTCAACTTCTGGCTAACGCATCTAACCAAACGTTTCGAGACACTCAATGATTCAAAATCATGTTCGAGAGATTCTTCTCCACTCATCATCTTGGAGTCATCAAAGAGAGTTAGCAATGCATAAAATTTCCTGCATTCAAGAAGATTGAAGGAATATAGGTTGTTTTTTGAAGAAAACCGAAATAAAGAGGATTGATTTTGCAATGCATTCTTAAGTTTTATGGTTTGAAGGAACACTGAAGATGAAAAATTATACAGACATTCATGATTTCACAAAAGATCAAATTACTTCCTAATCTAATGCTAACTGTCATGGTATAAAACCTTTCTTGAGCCTGCAACCACATTCATGAGTTAGTTCTTGACATGATTTCAGAATTTTGTTGATCAAAATGTCAGGTGTTCGAACCTCACTACCACTCAGTTTGAAAAAAATAATGTTCCCGTACAAGGCTCAAGCAAAAACAATATCACACGTGCACACGAGGGGCATGTTATTATGGTATAAAACCAATGTGAGAAAAATGCATTGTTATAATGATTTTTCTTCCATTTTTGCCCGGACTTCTCCTTCTCATCCTCCTGCCCTCTCCCCTCCCTCCTCTAAACCACATCTTCCTTCATTTTGTTTACAACAACCAAATAAAGTAGTTATTGAAACCGCAATTTACTTAAGAATTTCTCTACCGACCAAACAAATTTAGATTTTTAATAGTCCCGACTTTATTTTCGTTTCCTTAACACTTATGTGAAATAATAGAATTGAGCACAATTCAACCCCAACAGTTAACTCAAGGAGTAGAGGCACCCAAGCCATTATAAACACCATAATATTGGTGTACACGGCCAATGTAGGAAGAGTATAACTCAACACTCCCCCCCCCCCCCCNAATTGCGGGTGGAGGTTGAATTAGGCCCAAGTCTATTGTTTCACACTTCTCTTCCTTTTCCTAATTTCCGGAACCAAACATAGACAAAATTTTAACAATGGAGGATCCTCAGCTGTGGAAACCAGCAAAAAATGGGAAAAAGGCTTAAGTCAAGGTTGGATTTTTATGCAATGAGCAAAGCAAATACAACAAATCACACAAAATAAAGTGTCGGTTTCCTAATCCCAAACCCCATTTCACCCAAAACAAAAACTCTCCAAATAACAGGTTGACAAAGACAAGAAATAAAAAAAAACTAAAGAAACCCCAGAAATTGAGGGGAAAAAAATAAATCACAGGTTGACAAACGCATGAAATAACACATACCCAGATTGCAATTGAAGAAATCCATGGATTGGGAAGCTCCGATAAGAAGAAAGAATCCATCCCAGAATCAAGAATTGCTTGGGGAGACGAGAAGAGCAGAAACTGAGGATCTCATTTCCATGTTCATCTGAAGGGGGATTCGGTGGGTGGCAGTGAGCTTGGATTAAAGAAACAAGAAAGAGATGAAAGAGGGAAAATCCGACCCGGAGATCCAAATGCGGTACCACACCACACGGGTATCAGTGTGTTGGGGAGTAAGTTGGGACATCATTATCGGAATCTTGGTAAAGAATTTGGTTTCTTTTTTGAAGAAAAGAAATTGTAAATAGGACTAAAATATAATGATTTTTTTAATATAGAATTATATGTTTTTATTTTTTAATGTAGGATCATTGGCCATTGTCTATTAGTCATTATTCAACTAAATGTCCAGCATCACTTGAACATTATTCTTCTCACTAGTCATTATTACGTTCTATTTAGTGAATAAAAAAGTTTAAGTCCTACATTGGAAAATGACTTATGTTTTAATCCTATTCAGTACAAGTTTCACAAAAAAACCCACACTGCAAAAAGAGAGAGAGAGAGATTGGTATTAAAAAATAAAAAAATTAAAGAATGAAAAAAAGAAAAAAGTTTTTTAAGATATTTTTTTACTGATATAGATTAATTTTGAGAATGTTAAAATTAAAGAATGTCATTGATGATAAAACACTATTTTTAAAATACTAAAACTAAATGTTGAAACTGTTATATGGGCACCATGCTTATTTATTCGATTTACTAATGATGTACTCCCTCCGTACCAAATTAAATTGCATGTTTACGATTCATAGGTCAAATTTTATTCATTTTCTTTCTCTTTTTCGGTAGTCATTTGATAAAAAAAATAGTGATATCCCACTAGTTTCGTAAATTTTTTGATGTAATATTTTAATATGTAAATTTTATTTTTTAATTTATTATATTTTTTTATATAAAATGATTTAAAAATAATTTCAGTAAAATATTGTAAACCAAAACAGACAATATAAATTGAGACGGATGTACTAAGATAGTTATTCAAATCATATCTTGTGCAGTGTGTTTTCCACTTGGAAGTTGGGTTGGAGTATAAAAGTATATAAACCTTTTTACTTAAGTAAATTAATTAAAGATTAATTGAATAAATGACTATCCTAAAATTATAAAAATACTTATTCAACTGTTAATAATGTCTATGGATTATGGTTCCTTAGATAGATTTCTAATTCACATAAAAATTTAATTTTTTGTGCTAAAGAATGTCAAAAATTATTTGTCCACTTTTTCAATCCCGGTTTAAGAACATGGGCAACGGCGAGGCATTTCCTCGCCTCGCTGTGCCACATCAGCTCATTCCGTAAATTGTCTCGCGAGGCTTCAGCCTACCTTCGCGCCAAACGTGTGAGGCGCGAGGCATCTTTCAGGTTTTTTTTAAATTTTTTGTAGAAGAAATAATTTTTTAAAAAGGGGTACATTTATTTCAAAAAAAGATAAATGAAATAATTTTTAATAAATAAAATGCATTAAAAATCATAAAAATTGACAAAAACAATGACTTGTCACTGCGCGAGATGTCACTCCACTCACTTGTCACACGCTGATTGGATTGTCTTTTATTGATTAAAATATGTCACGTCAATGTGTGGCATTCCATGTCGTTACTTGCCATTGCCCGTGCTCTAATAGCACATTGAGCCATTGCATGGTGAAAAGTTATAAATTATAATACTACTATATATGTTCATCTGTACATAAAAAAAAGAAACAAAAAAAGTAACAAAAATGTTTCAATATAGATAGATAGATATATATAGATACAAGAACGAAACACTAGTCCAACAGTGGAACTTCCCCCTCTAAAAAGAAACGCCGCCGTCACGAGTCGTCACCTCCTAACGGAACGCCCTTCACGACGACGTTCGACCCTCCGGTTGGCGATGCCCGCGGCTTGACGAGGGGTGGAGGAGGATCGGGCGAGAAACAAACCACGATCACCGTCAAGTTGTCGCACGTGTTGCGCTTGAGTGCTTCCCTAACGAGCCCCCTCGAGCACCTCTCGGGGTCGTTGTGGGCCCCAAGCTCCTTCCTCGCCATCGTGACGGCGCACTGGCTGCTCATCACGTCCCACAGACCGTCGCATCCCATGATTAGGAACTCGTCTTCCTCGGTCAACACGGTCTCGATCAACTCGGGTTCGCCGCTCAAGGGACACGCGGACCCCTTCGGACCCTTCATGTGCCAGTCGCCCAAAGCACGCGCTACGGATAGTTGACCGTTTAAGTAGCCGTTGTATATGGCCCCACCGAGCTTCTCAATCCTCCGCCTCTCGGATATGGTGTCCGGTTTATGGTCCTTCGATAGCTCGTACGCTTTTCCCCGTTTCCCCAAAACAGCCCGACAATCCCCCGCATTAGCAACTATCAATCTTCTGCAAGCCAGTGGAAATACCAAAAGGTTACAAGCATAATGATAGTAGTCACTCGATATTATGGCACATTTCAACAATAAACTCGGTAAAATCTCACGAAAATAAGGTTTGAGGAGTGTGTGTACGCAAACCTTACCCATAATACAGAAAAAACACACATGCACAAAAGACAAACTAAGGCCATGTTCTCCTCAACTTATTCTTAATGGAAAAACAACTTTTATATAACTACAATCAGATCAGACCAGATCAAAACTTATTCCAATCAGATCAGGTGAAGGGAACATAGCCTAAGATGGGGCCTAGAGGCCTACCCAGCTACCTTAATCCTACATCTCTAAATGTTCCTACCTAAGGTCCTATCCTAGGCTAGATTCTGAAGTCATAAGTCCTATCTCCTGTCTAGTTTTGGCACACTTCAATGATCGCATTTCAAAATGGCAAAAATGTACAAACCGTTCACATAGGAGAGCGGTGAGTGCTGTCGTCCCAGACGATATATCGACAGAGCTATCATCAACAAAGGCATAGTCGGCTTTCAAAAAAGCGTTCTTAATTGCCTTTTCCAAATATAAGGGAAAAAAGGAGTCTTCCAATATAAACTTGAGAATATTATTCCTGACGAACGATGCTGCATCTGTTCCTCCATGTCCGTCAAAAACCTTCAAAATTAAACCAAATTTATCAGTAAACTACTGCTTACTACATATATATAGCTCTAGTGTAACAATGGAGGGTATTCTTTTTAAATAAATACGGAACAAAACAAACTAGATCAGTAAAATGGGGTTGCAAATGTTACCGACTTACCGAAACGTAAACAAAAGCTCTACTGAAGTAATTAAGACACTTAGACACTGTAGACCGTCTAAGGATCTATTTGGATGGAGGAGTTTGGAGAGGAAGGCCATGGAAGGTTTAGTCTATATCATGATAAATACAGAATATACTGTTTCTAAAACCAAATAAAAGATGATTGAAACGTTATACGATTTTGAAGAAAAAAGAGCTAAACAATCACATATTATGTTAATCTTTCTATTTTTTACGGAGTAAAATCTAAAAAACACACTCTCTCTGTCCGGATATAGTAGTCTACTTTCTAAAAAAATCTCATTTTTAAGAAAGGAGTTTAAAGTATCAAATAAATCATTCAAATTAACTTGTCGTTCATTCATGTCAACAATGCTCATACCCTATATCCAGGAAGTTTTGGACAATCATCGTGCTTTCTTTATTGAATATAAAAAGGAACTGAATCTGGATAAACGAAAACAAGAAAGTGGACAAGTAAACACAGATGGATGGAGCATATATCAAAATATAGGAAAATTAAAATCACAGTAGCTTTACAAGTGAGGAGCATATATAAGGCACATACTCCATAAAAGGCTCCAGGAAAAGTGAAACTGGAAGATTCTCCTAAGTAGTCCAATAGATTATCTATCCGGATGTGTTCGTCCTCCATGTACTGCTTTGGTCCTATCTCGGCACAGCTACCTGATCGAAACACGGGTAGAAATCCTGGTTTTTCTTCTGAAGTGCGTTCTATCTCCTTGATATCAGCCTCAAAATCCTTTAAGAAAATGATATGTATTGAGAATATTAGCCATTTGGTTTATGATTAATGCCAGAAAAGATGAATTATTTGATACATTTGGAAGTTCATAATAACAGTATTTGCAAGATTTCCCTCAAGTGTATATAGAGCAAACTACACTTATCATCTCATATGGTTAAACTAAACCTTCTCATAAGCCACAAAAAGAACTGCATTGAAAAGGACAACACTATAGAAGGATCAAGGATTTATATACTACAGCCCCAAAAACAAAGAGTCGTGTTTGACCAAGGAAGAATTTTTTTAGTTTTGGTAAGGTAGAGTTGCTATAGTCCTTAATCCTGCTTATATTATTTTCAACTTATTTTTTTGGTATAGCTGAAGTTTTCGAAATATAACTTCTTTGTCACTCTTCTTTGAGAAATTTCACGCAACATTTACTTTGATCATACGACACCCTTGTTGGGTAAATACCTTGTGAAAGAACTACATGCTCACTTATATATTACTACATCCAACTTCTACCAAAAGCTATTAGCTCTCAAAAAACAATCAAATATTCCAACAAGAGCCCTAAAGCCTTAAGGATACAAGAAAATGCCAATCAGAGGTAATAAAACCATTCCCTAAGGGAAAGGTGTCTTGGAAACAACCTCTCTACTTCCAAATAGGGGTGAGGTCTGCCTAAACTCACCCCCACATCCTACTTTTTGAGGGATTCTACTCGTTTTGTTGTTGTAGTTGTGGAGGTAATCAAACAATTTCACAAGTTCTATAGCAAGTAAATTCATAAATGTACGCGGCACGGACACAATGGAAGAGCAAGAGGCTCACATACCAAACCAGATGAGACTGGAAGTGTCTTAGAGCCAATAGAGCGTGGCTCGACCAGAAAACGGGAACAAAGTTTACCATTTGGTTGCTTCCATTCATCTGATTCCTCTTGAAGCTCAACTTTTGCAGGGGCCAAAACACTGCTCTTATTATAACTACCTTCTAATCTGGTGAATGGATGTGAACAATCAGTATCAGCTGCCATTCTCATCCCCCCAAACACACAAAAACCTAACTTCGCTCCACTTCAATCCTCACCCCAACTTCAAAACATAAAAGATGGGTGAAAGATCAGATTTAAGAAGCTCTGGTACCTTCTTTCCTTATATATGAACATAAAGCCTCGATCTTTACCAAGAATCTCAAAAACCCAGATCAGATATGAGGGCTATGGGTTTGGGCTCAAGAGTGGGAGCAAGATGATGCGAAGTGGTGTGATTGAGTTGCTTGGATCGAGTTCTTGGGTGATGAACAACATACTGAGCATTAAATACCTGGAATTAAGCTTCCGCTGGCGGACTGAACCAGAAACCGGGTCAGAGGAACCGGGAAGTCGGAGAGAAAAAACCCGAGGGCTAAGGCGATTGAGATTGATCAGGGGACGCAGAGGAAGAAGCTGTGGGACGCAGGCGAAGGGGAGGATGATTTTGGGGGAAAGATGGAATTGAGTTGAGTATGGACTCTTCTGACTCGAGTCCAAAATTTGGAGTTTTTAGGGGTTGTTTGGTTGTGAATTTGGCTTCTCCATTGGATAATGGATTTTTTGTATGATAGATGATCCTCATTTTATTTTTTTAACATGTCAATTTTTGTTTTCCCTCACAAATATTTTGAATATAGATTAACATTTTTGATATGCAATATTTTGGTTTTGTACTTCTTTACTCTCATAGCTTTCTTTACGTTGTGCAAAACAAAACAAAAATCTTAAATTTTTTTAATTTATTTTATTTCAATATTGGTATAGAAATAAAAAATAAAATTCATATATTTAAAAACTATATCAAACTTTTAATAAAATTAGTGACAAGAATATTTAATTTTATCATATAGGTCAAAAACATATATAAATAAAAATTTCCGTGAAGTTAGAATAGTATTTTGCAAAGAAAGATATGAGACGAAGAGAACATTTGTCTAAAATAATATTTAAAAATTATATTATCACAAATTAATCACTTCAAACAGCTTCTTAAAATAAAGTTGAAAATTTGATACCCAATATTATAGCTTTGGAAAAAAAGTTTGAATTTGTCATGGAGTATGAAGACTAAATATTTAAAACTATTTAAAATTCAAATAAAACATGATTTACAATGAGTTCAATAGAGAAGAAACGAATTTGAAATTTATATTATGGAACATTCATCATGGTTCAAGATACGTATTTTAAAAAGAAAGTGTGTTCAACAAAAGTAATTTGAAATAAATGATTTTTATTGAAAAGGAGTTATCTAGCATAAAAAGTTTATTTAGTTAATTTCCAATATTTGGAGAAAATATATAAAAAAACAGAAAAGTACGTATATAGTTAGAATTTTTTCGAATTAAAAAATCTGCATGTTATTTCTATAGTTTGATTTTTTCAACCAAACATGGCTAAGACTTAATGGCACTTAACAAGTAAAAAGCGGATTAACGAACCTTAAGTAGGATTTTTATTTTCTCTTTGGGATTTTTACCAAAGATTACCATTGTCAAGTGCCCACCATTAACAAGTGCTTGGTTAGCTCTTTCTCTGTTTATTACTCCCTATTACTGTGCTGTGCGATAGGTAAAGAAAGGGAAGATTCAATCAGACATGATGAGAGGACACATCTGGAGGGACCATTTTGTCCAGCATCTTTCACCATCTCTGTATTGCTTCATCTTTTATTATCATCTCTATACTCCTCCTCCTGATGTTTCCATTGATTCACTTGGCAAACCCATATCTTTAATCTCGATTCTTTATTGATTCTCCTGAAATTAAAATGCTTACTTTGCTCACTGGTACTCTTCTTCTTCTTCTTCTTCTTCTTCTTCTTCACTCTCTTTATTTGTCAATCTGTTATTGTTCCCAGAGTTTGCTGTGATAAGAGGAATCTGATTCTTTTTCGTTTTTCTGGTTATGGTGTTCTGGTTTCTTGAGTTTGAATTATTCTTTCTGTACTGTCCAAGCATTTACTGTAAAAGAATATTGATTTTTTCCCCTGGTTTCTTTTGTTTTGAATTTCCCAGATATATATGTGGGCAGTCCACGGTCAGCATGAGTCAACTGTTGGAGAAGGGTGTGATTGATTTGCTGAGATTTAGGAGAGTCGAGAAGGAATGAAAGGAATTTGGGTTGTTTTAACATGGGTTGTGATCTTTGTTGGGGCTTGTCCAAAGGGTATGAGCAAGAATGGCACTTCTTCTTCAAGGCCTGCAGTGGTTAATATTGGGGCTATTTTTGTCTCTGACTCAACAATTGGAAGGTCTGCCAAGATTGCAATTGAGGCGGCTGTCAAAGACGTGAATGCCGACCCCACCGTCCTCCACGGGACCCAGCTGGCAGTGAAGTCCCAAAGCTCCAACTGCAGTGGGTTTCTTGGCATGGTTTCAGGTAGTTGGTCATCCACTGTTTTCCTCAATTCCCAGTTTTGCATTGTCAAGTTTCTCAATTCTTGATCATTCAAACATGTTATGCTTGAAATTCTAAGCACAGTCCTCCGTGGATAAGTGGATAGGCATTGGGTTGTTTTTGGGTGTGTAGGCATAGTCCTGATTAATCCTTGTATAGGTCCTAGGTTGTTCTTGGTTATCTAGGTTTTGATATTGTTAGAGTTTCTTGGTCCCGGATGCTAGATATATTAGAGTTAGGCTGTTCTCTCGAGTTCTTTTTCTTGGGTTAGGTTCAAAACTTATTTTTAACAAATATCCTTTGCAAAACAAGGCTATAATGGCTAAGTTTTGTACATGTTTGTGTGTTTTGCATTTGAGATGGTTGAACTATGCAGGTTATGTTGAAGCTTTTGGATATTATAAAAGTTGTGTTTTTGCTAATCTTTTATCTATTCTGCTAAAAAACGTTATCTTTTTTCTTGCAGCTTTGAAATTCATGGAGACGGATGTCGTTGCAATAATAGGTCCACAATCTTCGGTTGTTGCCCACACCATCTCGCACATTGCTAACGAACTCCAAGTCCCTCTATTGTCCTTTGCCGCTACGGACCCCACACTTGCTTCTCTCCAGTTTCCTTACTTCATCAGGACAACGCAGAGCGATCTCTATCAGATGAAGGCGGTTGCTGACATCATCAATCATTACGGGTGGCGGGAGGTGATTGCAGTCTTCATCGATGATGACTACGGAAGAAATGGGGTCGCCGCATTGGACGATGCGCTCTCCGCGAACCGATGTAAGTTGACTCACAAAGCGGGAATCCCACCGAGAACTGCCACGGATCGAGCCGGGTTAATGGATATTATGGTCCAGATTGCTTTGATGGAGTCCAGGGTCATTGTTCTTCACACATATCCGGATTCGGGGTTCGCGGTTTTCTCAGTGGCCCACTATCTCGGAATGATGAATGACGGTTATGTTTGGATATCCACGGACTGGCTTTCTGCCGTATTTGATTCCTCTCCTCGTCTTCTCCCACCGGAGAAAATGGATGTTATGCAAGGAGTTCTCGTTTTGCGTCAACACACCGAAAACTCAGCTAAAAAGAAGGCATTCTCTTCTAGGTGGAACAATATGACCGGGGGCAATTTGGGGATAAATTCCTACGCTCTTTATGCTTATGACAGTGTTTGGTTGGTCGCACACGCGGTCGATTCGTTCTTAAACCAAGGTGGAGTTATCTCCTTCTCCAACGACTCCAATTTACAGCTTGAAGGGAGGAAGAGTAATCTTCATCTCGAAGCTTTAAGTATCTTTGACGGGGGCCCACATTTGATGAAGGACATAGTAGAGAGTGATTTTGTTGGTCTAACAGGAAGGTTCAAGTTCACTAACGACAAAACGCTCATTCTTCCTTCGTATGATATACTCAATGTGATAGGGACTGGTTTTAGAAGTATCGGTTACTGGTCAAACCATTCTGGTTTGTCAACTTCACCTCCAGAGACTCTCAACTCAAAGCCATCCAATGCTAGTTTTTCAAGGGAAGCCCAAAAGCTTTATGATGTGATTTGGCCCGGGCAATCGGGGAGGAAGCCACGTGGATGGGTTTTCCCTAACAATGGGAAGCAACTGAAGATTGTGGTGCCCGTTAGGACTAGTTTCCGCGAATTCGTGTCCCATATCCCAGGGACTAATACCTTTAAAGGCTTCTCCATAGATGTTTTTACTGCAGCAGTTAACTTGTTGCCCTATGCGGTTCCCTACCAATTTGTTCCCTTTGGGAATGGGCGTGAGAATCCAAGCTACAATGAGTTGGTGCGTTTGGTGTCTGCTGGGGTAAGTTTGTTTGAATGCTCATTGTGATTTAACATTAGCATTGTTATATGCTTTTTGTTGAGCATTTTGAAAAGACCATCTAATGAAAACATTTAGCTTTAGTGTTTTCAAAGTTAATCTCTATCCAGTCATTTCTGGTAAATAACTTTCACCAAACATGCCTTTGAATTAGTCTTGGCAATTCTTTGTGTGAATTTGTAGCGTTTCGACGGTGCTGTTGGTGACATTGCCATTGTGACGAACCGGACTAAAGTTGTGGATTTCACACAGCCATACGCCGCATCCGGACTTCTTGTTGTGGCCCCATTTAAGAAGCTCAACACAGGAGCTTGGGCTTTTTTAAGACCATTTTCTGCGCAAATGTGGGCTGTTACTGCGTTCTTCTTCATTGTCGTTGGCACAGTTGTTTGGATCTTGGAGCACCGGATTAATGACGAATTTCGCGGGCCTCCAAGAAAACAGCTTATAACCATTGTGTGGTCTGTTACGAAATTCTTTACTCGTATTATCTTTCATTCATAAAACTCGGGTCTTTGCATGAAAAAAATATCAGAATCCTCTTATGCTTAAACAGTCTTTCTATTTTCAAGTAGGGGTAAGGTCTACGTACACGCACCCTAACCTCCTGATTGGATAAGTTTTTAGGAAGGAAAGAAACTAAGGGTGCAAACCTTGGGAGAAAATAAAACTATTTTCCCTCTTGTTTGGATATTTTTAGGATGGAAGAAAAATAAATCTATTTTACCTCCTATTTAATAGAGTGAATGTAAAATTATTTACTATTTAAACTTTCCTCCCATTTTAGGAGGAAAAGTAATGAAGGAAAATAAATGGCATGTCTTATTTTTCTTCACCTTCTCAAACACATTGTAAAAGTAGGGCCCGCCTATGTCCTGAAAAAAGAGTGCAGTTTTTAATACTGAAATCAATATTATAACGTGACTCTTTTTTTGGGATGGAGGCATCATATGTTTCCGTGTTAGTGTCCACGGCCTTTTCTGATGATACCCTAAACGTCCATATGCAGGTTTAGCCTTTCCACTTTGTTCTTTGCACATAGTAAGTTTTAACTCTCTCTTTTATATTTAGCTTTTCCATGTCAAAGTTATCTTACATTTGAAAAATTGAAAAGCACAAAGCAACATGCCAATATGCATATTGATTGACCTTTTGGGATGCTACATGTCTTGAAATATATTTGTGCGTCTTAGGTTTCAAACGTTTTTGCACTCAAAAAATGCAGGAGAAAATACAGTGAGTGCCCTTGGTCGTGCGGTCCTAATCATATGGCTCTTCGTGGTGTTGATAATCAACTCAAGTTACACTGCAAGTTTGACATCCATTCTCACGGTGCAGCAGCTGTATTCTCCCATCAAGGGAATTGAAAGCTTGAAGGAAGGAGATGACCTGATAGGATACCAAACCGGTTCTTTTGCTGAGCACTATTTGGTCGAGGAAATTGGGATACCCAAGTCCCGGCTTGTCGAGATTGGATCACCTGAAGCATATGCTGCTGCACTTGAGAAGGGGCCTGCTGAAGGGGGAGTCTCTGCAGTGGTCGACGAACGCCCTTACGTGGAAAGCTTCTTGTCCAGCCAATGTAAATTCAGGATTATTGGCCAGGAGTTCACCAAAAGCGGCTGGGGTTTCGTGAGTATCTCTGTCACTAACACCATGTTTGGTTCTAGGAATCCGAAAGGTAGAAGACAAGAAAATGAGATGGAAAACAATTGTTCTTGCTTGGTCAGGAAAAGTAATAAAAAGTGGAAGAATCCAAATTCCATCCATTTTGGCAAGGAAAATGAGAGAAAACCATTTTCTTTTCTTTTCTTTTCCTTCCAAATTCGTTGAACCAAACATAGTGTAATACTTTCTCTTTCCTCAGGATTCGACTCGATTAGTTCTCCATAATTCATCTCATATCCCCAAACAGACTGAGTGGTGTTGTTGTTGTTGTCGTCAGGCTTTCCCGCGGGACTCACCATTGGCCGTTGACATGTCCACTGCAATTCTAACACTGTCTGAGAATGGGGAACTGCAGAGGATTCATGACAAGTGGTTAACCCGAACCGGTTGCAGTTCAGATGACACCGAGATTGACTCGGATCGGCTTCACCTCAAGAGCTTCTGCGGTCTCTTTCTCATTTCTGGCGGGGCGTGCGTTATCGCGCTCCTAATATATTTCACTCAAATTATTCTCAAGTTTCGCCGAATCGATCACGATGAACCGGTTGGAGATGGCTCGCAAAGTTCACGTTCTAGAAGCCTGCAAAGGCTGATATCGCTTATTGATGAGAAATCGGACCCCACGAAGAGGGAAAAAAAGAAGAGAAAAATTGATCCCTCATTGTCCCTTGACACCAGCAATGGTGGACACTCAATCCACATAAACAATGAATGAGAGGGAAGATCCTATCAAGAATATGACACTTTTAGCCCCGATAAGTTCTTCCTGAAGTGGCTTTTTAGGGGATTGGAGGACTGAAAAGGCGACGTTGGAAAGACTTGCAGCGTAAAATGGAGAGGTTAGTCATTTGAACTAAAAGTGTGCATTAGTTTATGTTGTAATATAACACATACCACTCAAAGTGTTATTTTTTCCTTTTTTTCCTATGTTGGGTTGGTTTGCCCTCAACAAGTCAATAAGAAAGGACTATCGGATCAGATTTTGTTTGCTGATTCTAAAGAATCAAACAGTTTATTATATTACTTCTGAAAACCACTTTCTGGTGAGCAAAAATCACCAACTTGTTCTACATAACTTGTGAGAATTGAAACCAGCTGGTAGAACCATAACTTGTTCTTGTGCTAGAAGATGAGACCATTTTGTACAGCCATATATGGGGTCACAATCTTTAGAGTATAAACAATGAATGGTATTGAAATAGTTTTCAATATCATGGCTTGTTCAATTCATATTCTCAGTTTTTGCAGGAAAAAAAAACAATAGCCATTCATGGGGCAATGAGAACCCCATTCTTCTAAAACCATTGGTTTTGCACAGAATTGTAAACAAGTATTTAAGCTTCGTAGACTTTGCATTCCTCGTCGCTCGGGTTGCTCTTGCAAAAGTCGTCCAAGGGGTCTTCGCTTCCTGCTGCTGGTATGCCCGGCCACTTCCTTGCCACTAGATGTGCCAAGTCAACGACCCGTTGGCTATTTCAAAAGAAAAAAACACAAGCATACTTAACACATTTTATATGTGACTTTAAGTGTGTGTGTCTATATATATACACACATATATAATGCTAGGGGATGAAGTAGTAGTAGTATTACCTATATCCCCATTCATTGTCATACCAAGCCACAACTTTGACCATGTCATCACCCATCACCATGGTCAATGACGCATCGATGGTGGAGGAAACGTCGGTGCATCTGAAGTCAGACGAGACGAGTGGGAGATCACAGACATCCAAAATGCCCTTGAGAGGGCCTCTGGTTGCCTTTCTAAAGGCCTCGTTCACGTCCTCGGCCGTGGCTCCTTTCTTCTCGACGTTCACAACGAGATCGACGACAGAGACGTTTGGGGTTGGGACCCGCAGGGCAATGCCGTTCAGTTTGCCTTTGAGCTTTGGTAGGACAAGAGACACCGCCTTGGCCGCGCCCGTGCTGGTCGGGACAATGTTTAGCGCTGCAGCTCTGGCTCTTCTCATGTCCCTGTGGGAAGCATCTAGAAGCCTCTGTGCACAGACCAAAACCAGTTCAGTTCTCTATGGGTCCCAACTTTTCATGGGATTTTGCTAAGTTTGTTGTAGTAATGTAGGAAAATTAAAAGATTAGTTGTCATTTTTCTTCATTGAATTATGTGTATTAGGCACACTGTTCTTGTTATTACCTGATCTCCAGTGTAAGAATGGGTGGTTGTCATTGTTCCCTTAACAATACCTACACAAAAAGAATGGAGATTGGTCTGGAAGGCAAAACAATAGAGTGAAAAACCAAGAAAACATTTATCCTTTCCAATGTTTTCCCCTGTCCCTATCATTTATTCTGATCCAAACACGCCCTTTACGAAAGTTAATATTCCTAAACAGAACTGTGGTACATACCAAACTCCTCATCCAAGACCTTAACAAAAGGAGCCAAGCAGTTAGTAGTGCAGGAAGCATTGCTGCAATGGTGACAAAAAAAAGAGAGAAAGAGTTAAAGTTCTGTTTGGCGTTTCCATTTCAGTTGTTTGCTGGATAGATTGTTAACTAGTTGGATAAAAAGACTTGCCTTATGATGTTGGAGACATCATGGAAGTAGTCTTGTTCATTAACACCAACAACATAGGTTGGGATGTCAGCTCCTTTAGCTGGTGCAGTTATTATGACTTTCTTGGCCCCTGCTTGTATGTGCTTTCCTGCCCCTGGTCCATCCACAAACACGCCAGTCCCCTGTACGCCAAACACTTTCCCAAAACTTCAAAAAAAATAATTAAAAAAAAACTTTGGTCGAGAGGAAAACCAAACAGACCTCAATGACAATGTCAATGCCAAGATCAGCCCAGGGGAGATTGAGAGGGTCCCGGTTAGAGACCACCTTGATGTGCTTCCCATCAACCGATATGGTCTCATTGTCAACTACTTGTACGTCCGCTTTGAACGTTCCCAACATGGTGTCGTATTTCAGCAAGTGAGCCGCCTGTATCCACCCATATATCCAAATTATGTCGATTTTGGTTAGTCTACCACAATAACCACAACAAAGTGAACAAACCCAGTAAAATCCTAGGGTCAGGGGAGGGTGTATGGACGCAGACCTTACCCCTACTTGGGGTAGAGACTAGAGAGGCTGTTTCCAAGGTTGTTTCCCTTTTTGGTTAGTCCACAACAACAACAACATATCTAGTAAAATCACACGAAAGTAGGGTCCGGGGAGGGTGTGTACGCAGACATTATCCCTACTTGTCAGTAGAGAGGATGTTTCCCTTTTGGTTAGACGGATGACAAGTAATCCTTTTGAGGGGTCCGTTCCGTCATGCTCAGCCAACTCAGCAAGACGACCATAAAAAAATTCAGGTATGATTATTGGGAAATGGAAAAAATGGCAACATTTTTACTCACATTTTTGACACCGGCACTGTCATTGACAACAACAACATCCAGTGGGGAATCCTTCCTGCCATGCCAGCACCTGAGGAAGTTCCTGCCGATGCGTCCGAAGCCGTTGATGGCAACCTGTAATTTGGGAGCAGTTTCTTCCCTAATGGCATTTGACTCTGCAATCTAATTCCACAGATAGTAATTTTACTACTCCCATCAAAAACCAACAACACATTACAATCAAAGCTTAGAGTCCAACTTAGCTTATCTAATTAGATTAATGAGGTTTTTATAAACCAAGCAGTAAAATGTGATCAACATTCTTAAAGATATTGGGGATCATAATTGTACATAAGTTTTTTGTTGTTTTAACTTTTAAAGATATTCACTATCCAGACACCTAAAAAAAGATCTTTTAAAAATTTGTTGGCCATGGTTCTTTTAACACCCGTTTTGGGTGTTTATATGACACCGAGGCCCGACCGTGCTTCGTTGGGCTCGGGACCGGGTCCTACCCCTGCCTCCACCCGCATAACTTAAGCTTCTTGTTGTTTAAAAGATCATCACCATCCATAATCATCTAAAAAGAAAGATCTTTTTCAAATCTTGATGTTGAAAAAGATTCTGCTAAATATAGTTCAGGTAAGTGAAAGATTCAGCAAAATAGGAAACCTCTGAAAGTATAAAGTAAGAAGATTTACTGTGGGGGTGAGCTGAGAAGCCACAGAGAAGGAAGAAGAAGCTTCCCTTTTGGAATATGTCACACATCGATTATATTTCAGCCCAGAAAACTCAGCCACCTCCAATCTCTGCAAAATCCACCATTTTTTTTCAAAACAAAAAAAGTAAACTTTTGAAGTTATATTACATTAGAGAGAGAGAAAGAGAGAGAGAGAGAGAGAGAGAGAGAGAGAGAGAGAGAGAGAGAGAGGCGATTACTATACCTTGGAGAAGGATTGAGTGTGGTGGGACTTTGTTGTTGTGATGGTGGTGGGTGTGGGGATTCTTGAATAAGCAAGAGCTGCATGAGAAGCCATGGCTGCAGCAGCTTAAACAACTAAAGAGTTGAACAGAGCTTTATTTACTATGATGATGATGATGAAGGTTCTGTGTTTGTGCTCCCAGTTGTGATTTGTGAGTAAAACTGACTGGTTTTTGAAGACACAGTGTGGTGTGTGTGTGGTGAAGATGATGTGGAGATTATCCACATATAGAGAGAGAGAGAGGATAAGATAATTTGTTGTTTTTTTTTCTTTCAGAATCTGAGCCACAGATTCTTTGGTTGGCTGACTCTTTTTGTTGTTTCATCCATCACTGTTTTAGCAGTAGTACACAGCAGCAACTTATGTTACAGTCAGCAGATTCTGAGTGGATAAAGTGCACCCAAATCATATCAACAACCACCCATTGTAATCCCAATATGGAATCTCATCCTAAGGTCACCTCACTCCCGGCCGAACAGTTAGATAAGAGAACGTAAATAAAGCTCTAATCTCAATTAATTCATACGAAGCGGTTGAAGTTCAATGTGTTTTTGTGTTTAGTTCATTATGTTCCCGAGAGAACAACGTTGTCAATGACGACGACTCTTTTAGCTCTATTAGTAATGGACGGAATGCGGAGGGGATCATATGAAATGTTTGGAGAGATGGTTAAATGGCATACATTTAAAAAAAAATGACTAAATATAAGTTCATATTTAGGCTAATAAAATGATTTTTTTTTAAAACTTGTGCCCCCGGCAAAAATTAATGAGACCCCATCTATTTAGGCTAATTTTAAACTTTTTGTTTAATTTTTTTTAATAAAGTGTATTTTACTCCCTCCGTCCCTGAGTATTTGTCCGTTTTTTACTTTTTTCAGTTTTGATATCAAATTAAATAAAAATGGTATTAGTTATTGATACAAAAAGAGTTTTATTAGATTTATTATATCAAATATTTTTAAAATATTATTTTATTTAATTAAAATACAATACTACCTCCGTCCCATAGTATTTGTCCACTTTCATTTTTACACACCATCTAATACACTTCTTTAATCCATTTCATCTTGTAATTTGTATATTAAAAAATTATATATTTAGGCTTACACATTGAGAGAATTTGATGACTCAAAGTGCTTAGATAAACAGTTCCAAAAGTCAAAACTGGACGAATACTCCGGGACGGAGGGAGTATATATTTTATTTAATTATAGGTCAAAGGTTGAAAACAGTTGACCGAAAAAACTCAAAACTAGACAAATACTAAAGGACGGAGGTAGTATTACATATAATTAATTGTTTATAAAATAAAATTTTACATTGTTGATTGAAAAGAATTTCACATTCAATAAATGTTTAAACTAAAATATATTACTCCGGATATTTTTTATCATTTTATATTGCCTATTTAAAAAAATAAGACAGTTGCCGGCGGACCTCAAAAAATGATGACCCAATGTGACTAAATTTCTAAATCCGTCACTAATTGAAACAAGTATTAAAAATGTATAAAAGATGTGAGTTCACATTTTTATTATTATAAAATATGAAGCACATTCCTTTTTTTAAAATGAGAACGTCCCAAAAAAAGACTCCTATTTACTATCTAAAGAACAAACTAACTCTGCTTTCTTTATACATTTTCATCGATCATTTGATTTAAAAAAATAAACATATTATCACTTGTTTTGTGAAACTTTCAAAATAGTTTTTCAATACATGTTTTTTTAGTTTTTATTTGTACACTAATTTTTACTTATATTATTTTTAAAACTAACTTCAGTCAACCATCGTAAATCAAACAAAAGCTTTAATTTGTGACGAAAGGAATATCATACTCCGTATATAGATTGCAAACCAAAGGCCTAAAGTTTGAAAGTTTAATCTTGTGTGGGTCGAAAATGTCATGCTAGCCAAATATTATTACCGACTATTGCCCATTGCACTCCCCATTTGAAAGAATCAAAGAAAACAGCATAATAAACTCTATGTATATATTCCCACATTGAGCAAAAGCAACATTACAAGTTCACAAGCCTTGACAAAGCAATGGGGGGCAAAAGGGGAAATGTAATCAACATATAATTCATGATTTTAGAAAAGATCACATTCATCACCCCCTCCCTCCATTCAAATACTCCATAGATATAAATGCAAAAGCTAAGAGCTTCTGAGAATGTGCAAACTATGCAAATAATAGAAGCTCTTCTCATTGGTGAACCCCAGCTTCTTCTGGTCTGTCTCCCTGCTTCATCTGAGTGGAAAAATCATCTATAGCTGTGTTCAGCTGTTTTATCTTCTCCGCCAGTTTCTTGCGCTGCTTCTGTAGAGAAGAAAAAAAACGTTTCTTTTAATAACATCAAACCGGAGAAGAAACGAGGCAGATAATTTCTTGTTGTGGCTAAGAACTAATCTGTAAACTTGGGGCGGAGAGAGTAATAAACTTCAGAATACATATAAACGTTTGTACATTTTACGAATCTTGATTTTAAAAAAATATCTTGAAAACAGGAGACTATTTTCTCCTTGATGAACCAAATTTTTCGTTCTATTGTTTTCATGTTGGTCTTACAATATCAACCAATCCCCGATCATCGAGTGGGCAAGACAACAGAAAATATAATACTCAATACCTCATTGGCCCATTGCCATCTCATGATCGAAATGACTTTAGGTGAAGACCATTTTATTATTTTCCCCTCATTATTCCTTCATATGAAGGTTGTAATTGTGACATGAAGGGTATCCGGCTTAAAAGGTTACCACTATATTACTATTTTTGCTGAAATAGTTGCGTTAAACTTTTTTATAAAAAATAATCAAAACATAATGAAGGGTAAAGTTGCTACATTTGATAGCATGAGCTAAATTTGCTTCGACTACGGGGGCTATAAGATTTGCTTACTTCAAGTGCTTTTTCTTCATCATATATGAACTTGGGCAATTTCTTCATGAGCTCTTTCCTTTCATCTCCAGATAATCTTCTACTTATCTGTGGGTTAAGAGGTTATCAATATGATTAAGCAAAGATTTAAATCATCTCATGTGTCAATAAAAGAACTTTGGAATTTGGTCGCTAAGTGAGATTGGAGCTGGCAAACAGGTCGGCTTTAGGTCCGGAAATACATGTTCATGATCCATTATTATCGGGTTGAGGTCAACTCAACAAGTTATATTCGTTTTTTTAGAATACTTAAATTCATGCTAGCACTTGCATTATAAGCTATTATAATATTTTCTTTTGAATTTTAAACTAATTTTCAAATATATACAACAATGTTATAGATAATATAAAATATATAGATATGTACAATGTTTGAAGAAAAAAAAAGAGATAACAATACGATATCATTAAAACGTGTTTAAAAGTATAAGTTTATACACTAAAAAGATGTACTAAGAAAAAAAATTATAACATTATTTTTATCACATTATATTTCATACAAGAGTACATGATTTTGAACAAATATTATCTCAGCATGTCGGTCAGAGATCGGGTTTGGGTTCGGTTAACAAAAACTTTGTTCAAAACCAAATATTTTTTGGCCAGGCCAATTTTTGCAATGTCTAAGTGTGATAAAGCTTATTTACTTGCAAGATAAACAAAATAACCTGAGGTGCAAAGACACAACCAAGTGTACCGACAACTAATCCTCCCAAAATGAAGCCGCCAACAAATGCACCTGAGCTCCAACTGTCGCTCTCGCTGCATCAGCAAATTGCCCGAATTAAAGACTCTCCCATATCAATGAGGCATTGCATTACGTGGTGTTCCGTGATGTGCCCGTTGATATAAAAATATCAATTTTGGGATGTGATGCAACTGTAACAGGCTAACAGCTATCTCAGCCCGTTGCCTTCTCACAGTTCACAACTTAATACCCCATTTAGTCCTTAGACTTCACATTATTTTCAATCTGGACCTCCTTTTTATTTCTGATTTGGTTTTCCTCTTTTCAACAATGAAATTTGAACCTTATCTAGTCACCTTACACATTTGGATATTCAAATACGCTTAACCCAACTGTGAGATTTGAGTCCAGAATTGGTCCTCAACATGTGAGAATACCATTCTTACATCGGAGACAAAAATGAATGCAGACTAGTTTGAGCCTAAATTCTATAGATGAGGACCAAATTGAATAATTTTGTATTGTCAATATACTAAACTCTTTCTATGCAAGTGAGAAAGCCCTATAATTACAAGGTTTTGAAAATTCTTCTCATCTTTCTTTCTCTTGAAATGTAAAGTTGTGCTACTATGTTTTTCTCATGAATTTGTAATGTAAACTAATTTTAACCATATAATTGACATTATATCTTATAAAAAATTATTGATATCATAGATGTCATGAAAAATGACCTCAAAGGAGCTGGGGTTAAGGTGTTGCTAATGATGATGATCATTAATGCATTATATGTAGAAATGTAGAATAAAAGTAAACCAACTACTCCCCCCCCCTCCCCCCTCCCCCGTCCCTGAATTCCTAAAAGAATATCCTGCTTGTTATCATTCTATTTAAGGAAAGAAATGAGTGGTCCCAAAAAAGGTTATCATTCTATTTAAGGAAAGAAATGAGTGGTTCACATTATTTCTCCCTTTGCATAAACTTCGAAGATACAATTTCATTTTCCACATCTGTCCCCATGTTATTGAAAGTTGGAACCTCATTATAAAGTAAAAGTGGAAGGTGTCCATCCTTCATCATGACCAAACTCTGTGTACTTAAACAAGGTTGTGATTTGTAATGATGCAAAACCTTTTATGCAGTCTAAGTAACCAAAAAAACTACAAGCTTATACACATCTAAAAGATAGTTTGTGGGAGGGGGTACCTATGTCTTGCTTGAACCAAACATAAGCTTCTTGAGAGAGATGAGTTTCTGGCACGTCTAGGATTCATAGACAATGTCGCGGGACACAAACTTTTATCAGCCGGCCTCAGATAAAAACCTGGCAAACATGCAACAAGAAAGTTCTAAAAGCTCACAAAGATAGCTCTCACATTGTTAACAAACGGAAACATTGTAAAGATATAAATGCAGAACAGTAAAAAACAATAGCATTACGTGATAGGTTTGCACCAGTCAAGAAGTCAAGTAAAGACAGATTCATGAAACAAGTTAAATACATTATAGTAATAGATCAATGGCAACTTCTCCGCCCCATTGGACCATTGCCCAAAATACACACTAACACTCATAAGATACTTGGAGGGCAGAATCAATCATCAACCCAACATTTGGGTCCCGCGATGCCTCATTTCTCCACAATTATTATAATTACTTATTATTACTCCTCCTACCCTATAAATGAGAAAGGGAGTATGATGAAAAGGGATGATACCATACGAACACACAGTACACTCCATCTCGCTTCCTCTACACACACTCCTCATCTCCGTCCCTAGAGAAATCCAAACTGTATTTATGGCTTTCAAGGCAATCTCAAGCTCCTGTATATATTCTCTCCAAAATATATAATAAAACATCTATGGTGGCAAGGCAAGGTATCACTTAAAAAGACCCATAGCTTTTACCAATTTGGTTTCCACATAATAATACTTTGTTCGTATATTTATATTCGCACACATGTATAATTCTCAGATTACATTTTGTGCTGAAAAATGGGTACCCGGTGGAATTATTTTCCATCACTCAATAAACAAAGTATCTTTTGACTTGCTTAATTTGGGTGGAATTGAACGTTACCAAACACTTCTCAGAAAATGCAACAGATTCAACCGTTTAATTCAAGTAACCCTTGAGGTATGAATCTTGTTTCTCTACATGATTGTAAGTCTACTACAACTACTAAGGTCACACGCACAAGTGACTCTTGTCTCGTTATATTTCTCTTTAGACCTATATCCTCCTAATAATTTCTAAAAATTCCCACTTCCTACTTTGTTAAAGAACCAACTACACCACAAATATTTTGTTGTAGGACCAGAAACGTTTTTATACTCTAACACGCCCCCTAATGTGAAATTAGGTTTGTTTTCTGTGCGTGAACATTAACTTCTTAAAACTTGGCAAAGGTGAGTTTCAAGCTCGGGACATGAAGATCAACAAGGTTCCGATACCATGTTTAAGAGCCAGCTCAACATCCCTTCTTCTAAATTGCATTTTCTGATCTTTTTATCACTGAGCTACATCAGCAGCTTACAGAAGCACTAGAACTAAATCACCTAAATTATCAATCTGCGGACTAAATGTAGTTTAATGATAAATTTCTCATATTCAAGTCTCGATCTGTTATCCAATGTATCAAGGATCTGATAGATTTATTCCTCTTTAACTCGCACAATCCACACAAAAAGAAAACGGAAATGGGATATTTCGTACAGTGTATGAAACCCAGTTCACTCGGCGTTTAGTAAATTACCAGAAGAGAAGTGCAGTGGCGTGGGTTTGGATAGGGCCGATGAGGTTGTTAGAGCAATCGCCATTTCTGACTTGCGAAGTCCAGATGTGATCCTTTTCTTCTTCTTATTTTACCCGATTCAGATTTCAGAGGTGGTGATCGTTTTGAAGCGTTGTTTTCGAGGATGGCCTGCTCAAGATCACCATTTGCGGGATTAAAAAAATTTTATTTTAAAATCATTTTATACTATAAATTGTATGGAATTTTAAAAAATAAAAATTACATCTTTAAAAACTACATGAAAAGATATAAAACTCCATTTGGTACACAGAATTTAAATTATGAAATTATTATTAAAGATTTTAATTCTAATTCTGGTGTTTGGTAGCACAAAAAATATGTGAATTTAAAATTGATAGTTCAAAAAATGAACTGGAATTGGTGAATTCAATTCTATGAAATTGAATCTCATAGAAATAATTCTAATTCAATTCCAATTTCATTAATTCTGTATACCGAACAGACCCTAATTGTGAATGTAAAATTTAGTATTTGTCAAAGTATCAAAAATTTTAATGTTAACGATCAAATAGATAAAGTGTATCTAAGTAGTACATTACCACTAGTTTTAAGGACTCCTATAGTACATTTCAAAAAAATTGAGACCCCAGAGTTGTTAACATAAAACTGAGATTACCCTAGAGTATACTCCTTCCGTTCTCAAAAACACTTTCTCTTTCATTTTTTTTCCACTTCCAACAAAACACTTCCCTTTTCTATTAAAAAACCACTTTTACCCTTACTTTTTCATACCCTACCTATCACATCATACTTTTTCTCTAATAATCTATCCATCACATCTTACTTTTACCCATCACATCAGGGGCAAAATTGGAAATCAACTATAATTTAACACTTCCTTGTTTTTGCCCCAAATCCAAATGGGAACTGTTTTTCTAAACGGATGGAGTATTTTATATTATGTGGTACCTGAAATTCATTAATAGAAAATTGATGATATCCTTGAATAATTTTTTGTTGGGAAAACTATGTACTAAGAGTAATATAGTTCTAATAGATTTATTAGTACTAAAAAAACTTCAATTCAAGGAAATCATATAGCATCTTCAATAGGACTTCTACCTTGACTTCAGTGCTAAGAAAATTACTCCCAATGTTCATACAAAAGTTCATCAAGTTCCAGTCTCGGTCCAAAAGGTGGAATCGTCCATCCCAGGCGCATTGACTCATTATATCTCATTAAATTGAGATAAGTATAAATAAATTATATATTGTAATTGAGTCAATAACAATCATCAGTTTAGTATTTGTTCAATTTTATAATCTTGAAATCTTAAGCGTATGAGTGACACTCGACTAGTGGATGTGGAGAAGCTTGGGTTGAGTCGGTGACATCCTTGCCACTATACTAACAAGCTTCAACTTCATTTTGCACTTGCTAAAAAGCAAAATCGTATTTAATCAACATTATTTTTTTAAAATAGCAATTTTTTAAAATATGCAGATCCATACATATTACTTCATTAATATTGCATACTAAAATCAACATCTATTTTATTTATTTCTTTAAAACTATGTTTGGTTCAAGAATTTCTAAGAGAAAAGAAAAGAAATTGGTTGTCTCATTTTTCACCAAAATGGAAAGAATTTGGTTTTCTTTCCCTTTTGTAATTGTATCTTATCATTTTTTTCCTTTCATTTTCTTTTCTTTTCCTCCTAACTAAACATGATAGAATATTTTTTCTCTCATTTTCTTTTCTTTTTTCCTTTCAAAAGTCTTGAACCAAACACATTGTAAAATATTCTATAATATGGAATATAGAGACTCCATAATTAGAATATAGAGTTTTAAAGAATATAATCTTAGTCCTTTATCAATTCCAAATAATTTTTACTATAGAATTGACATGATTAGAATCTAAATTTAATGTGTGTGTCAGTGTGTGTGTGTGTGTGTAATTTTAACCTTATTCCTCATATTTTAAATCAAATTATAATCCCTAATACTCGAGATTCGGATGTATAATTCCCGTACACGGCAGGGCTGGTTTGGATGATTCGATAACCTTAGACGAAACAAAAAATAGGCTTTGTATCTAACAAATTAAATTATATACAATATTTTCTATAGAATAAGAATTGATATTATAATATCACGCATAACAAAATTATAATATTATAATTAAATATCATAATAGCAACCTTAAAAATTACATTTTAATTTTTTTATGAAAAGATATACTCCCTCCGACCCCTTGTTTTTGTCTACATTTGACTTTTGGAACTGTTCATCTAATCATTTTGACTCATCAAATTCTCTTAATGTGTAAGCCTAAATATAGTCATGTGTGATCTTGTTTGATTTGTCTTAACATATAGATTATTAATATATAATTTCTATAAATTTTTAATATACAAATTACAAGATAAAATAGATTAAAGAAGTGCAATGGATGATGTGTAAAAATGAAAGTGGACAAATACATGGGGACGAAGGGAATACAACATATATTCAAAAAAAAAATGTTGGGCACCTTGGCCACCCATAGACCGTCTCTAATCTGTCTGAATACTCATTTTCTAGTAACTGTATACTCATTTTGAGCATAATTAATTTTTTTGAAATGAGTATTCATTCACTTTAAAATACTTCATCCGTCCTAAAATTTTCTTTCCACTTCCCCTTTTTCTCCGTTCTAAAACTACCTTCCCATTAGAAAAAAAAGATGACAAATGACATTAATACCCTCATGTATTTACACCAATTATCTTCTAACTCTATATTTTGAATGATTGCAAAAAAATTCAAAAAATCTTTTTTAAGGAGGGTAAAATTTGAAGTCAAAGCTAAAAATTAAAAATGGAGAAAAGTCAAACTGAGAAAAAAGTTTTAGGACGGAGGGAGTAAACATTTAGTTTGAAAATGAGTATTCAGTTACTCGTAAATTGAATACTCGTCGTGAATATACGAGAAACACCGTAGAACTGGTTATACGACATACATTGCAATGGAAGACACATATTTAAGAAGTCCATAAAATAATTAGTCTTGCAAAATTAAAAAAAACCTTTAAAAGTTGCTGTAAATTTTGTGTAAAGGGGAAAAAAAGAAGATTCTCTGTTAGAACCGTTAAAAAAACCCGAAATGAAGTGTAATAAATTCTTTTCCTTTCAATAGACTCCCATATAGTCTTCAACGTGCAATTAAGGCAAAACATATTTTCAATTTGTTAATTATGATTTATTGACTTAATAGAGAAAGCTAAACATGTCCAACCTTGCAATTGTTGCTCATACATGAGGAAATCAAAGAAAAAAATTCAGTTTTTTTTGGTGTGGCTTTTTAATTAACGTTAATATTTTTTTTTATAATTTTTAATAGTGTAAATTAAGTTTAAAAGTTCTAGAGTAAGTTGTTTCTAATGATGCAATTAATGTTAATATTTTTATAATTTTTAATGGCGTAAATTAAGTTTGAAAGTACTAGAGTTAATTGGAATAGTGAATGTAAGTGCTCGTTTCATGATAATTTTAATATTTAGCTTTAGCGTTGTTAAAAGATTATTCAAATATTCTAATAAGAAGTAATATTACAATTTGCGCAAAATGATGTGAAATTTAAGTCCTTTAATTTATTTTATTTAAATATTGGCATTGAAATTTAAAATAAAAATTACATATTTAAAAACTATGTCAAAAATTTTATAAAAATGATATCCCAAAAATATTTTATTATCAAATAATAATTCAAAACGCATAAGTAAATTTTCATGTGTTTTGAATAGTGAAAAGTATTGGACGGAGGGAGTACTAAGCATTTATATCAACCTGTTTTTTGGAAAGACCATAAAAAAAGACATGATACTCGTTTTAATTTAAAATAAATATTACATTATTTTAGAATGAACAACACGTTGTTTGATATTGAGTATGTTTCACAACGAACAATACGTTGTTTAATAAAAATAAATACTACGTTAAATAGAGTTCAGAATGAATACTACGGTTGGAAATGAACATTTTCTTAATTCAAAATGAACATTTTGTTGAATCAAAATTAATATTCGCCACGTGTGTCTAGCTTTATGTATAACCGAGTGTATGCCAATTATAATAAGTAATCGGTGTTAGAATAAAAGACCAACGCTAGAGGGGGGTGAATAGCGTTTGATCGTAGAAATCGCAAGAATAAAAACTTTAAAGGAGAAGTAAAGAGAAGAGTAAGAGGCACACCGAATTTACCCTGGTTCACCACAACTTGTGGCTAATCTAGCCTCCCGAGAGACTCTTTCGAGCTACACTACTATCCCGTTAGGCTTAACAGTGCTTAACAAAACCTTACAACTTGCGAATTCGAGTCACACGAACCTCAACGAATCCTTAGAAGGAAAGAGCCCTTTCTTCGAATCAAACAAGAGAAATATGCTTCTCTCAACGTGTCTTACAACACTAATGCACTCAAGAACAAAACTCTCTTTAAGAGTAGATATTGAGTAAACTAAATATGCTCAAAACAACTCAAACTTCACACGAATTAGCTCTAAAAAGCTTTGGAAAATAATGTTGTTTGAATGCAATGAAAGTATGAATATTGTGAAGTAAATTGGTGAGAAAATATTTTCATGCGAAGTTATTTTTGCAACATTTAACTTACCAAACAAGAAAAAATAATTTTTTTCCATGAAAATATTTTTTCTTTCAATCAAACATACCATTAATACAAAATAATCTATTTTTTGTAAAACCCATTACTCTATAGTTTCAAAGAGATTAATATTCTACTTAAATTAATCTGTTATCAATTAATCTTTAATAATATTTTCAATTATGAATGTGTATATTTTTGATCTTTTGTGATAAAAAATAGATAAATTTTGATCAATAATTAAATAAATTTTATTTGATATTGGTAAATTTTTTTTATTAGATTTGTTTTTATAAAATATCTCATTAATATACTATATAATTCTTATTTAGGCCTTGTTTGGATACTAGTAGTTGACAGTTGGCTGTTTATGTTAGCTGATTTGAATGCCTGATTGAGTTAGCTGTTTTGACCGGCTGTTTCTGTTAGCAGTTAAATTTTAAGTGTTTGACAATTTTAGTTGTTTATAGTTAGCTGTTTGTAAATAAAATTATATAAAAGGACATCCCTCCATTTATGGTATATTTTATTTTACAATTTTTTAAATAT